AGAAAAGTAATTTATATTCACGATTGTCTTGTTCTAGTTCTAAACTGAAAGTATCTTAAGTAAAAATATAGTATCTGTTATTTAAGTATATTCTCGTAGGAATGGCTTTCTTGGCGAGAAACAGTGTTTTGACCCCTGTTTTCGTGCCGGTATGCAAGTCCATAAAACTTTCACTTAATGTCTGATAATTTTGAGTAGGTCTGTGTTACAAGGACAGGGAACGCGTTTTCCCGTTATTTAAATAGATCCAATTTAAAATGTTTTCTATTCTAATTTAGTGTTGTGAAAGATCTTTAATATTCCTAAATAAACGAAATAAACCATAGAAATAGTCAACAGTAGAAATCACTAACATGATTTCATCGTGATGATAATTTTATATGTACTTAGGCTTTTAATAAGCTAATTAATTGAATTTATTGTGTTTTTTAGTGAGTCCGATGAGGCTGTAAAAGCCAAAAGGCTACCAGCTCAAACATCATCAGAAACCAGTACTTCGCAAATAACATGATTTTAAGTAAATTTTATCTTCTACGATTTACGATTATCAATCACCCTCCATTGAAATCACTACGATATTTATATTATGTATTCATAATAAACATCCTCGCTTCTCCACATTTATTATGAAGATTTAATTTTTATTGTGAATTGAGTAATTTTAAATAAATTCGTGTAAATATATTATTAAGTCCCATAATTCTTTATAATCTATTGAATTAATAATCTAATGTGAAATACATATAATCAGCAAAAATATCTTATTTGCTTTTTTTTTTTGGCTTTTAAAAATAATTATTAGCATCTCCCATAGTATAACTTTAACTATATAGCATTAACTTCAAATCAGAATAACGCGCAAGAATGCACAAGTTTTTCATTCTTATGCATTCTTACACATTCATGTCCCTTTCCTTACTTTTTCTTGAGATAGTGTGACGGGAATGCGTCCGAGTAAATCTATCATTATGTTCACTAACAAAAAATAAATTCCTCGGATAGATACAGCGCCGGTACGAGCCTTTATGTCTCCTATTCTGGCGGTATTACACTTTGACTTGGTTTTCGTCTATTATATTATGTGTAATATTTATACAATTAGGTTGGCCAAAAGATTGTCCAACTTATTGAAAACCCTAAAAAAATTTAGATGTCGTGTATTAGTTATGACAAATCTTTAAGCTCCTAAGCTAGTTTTCTCTGCAGACGTTATATTCTACCCTTACCGATAGATGACACAATGAGTTTCTCTTTGAATTAACTTTGGACTTTTTACTGTCTAAATATAAAATTTATTGATAACTCGACCACAGCATTACTTATCGGATCCAGACATTGAGTTTTTAAGGTTGCCTCTAAAGCTCTACCTACTAAAAAGTTACATACCATAAACGCAACAAAAATGTTCATTTTATATTGGGTGCAAAAAAACCTATTAGACCGTTCCATCACTGACCAATACCGTAGTAACGTGTAACGTTCTATAACCGCACCGAAATCGAATTCATGACGAGAAATTTAGCAGGTGTCAAATATCGATAAGCTCCGTGTAATGGCACGCGACGTTTCCAAGCCGCTCTATGCAGGCGACCAAACGCATTGTAATTGTCTCTCACCATTGTCAAAAATAATAACAATCATTGGTAAATTCTTTTGCAGATCGCTTTTAGTAGCCACCGTATATGTACATTTTTTAGTATGAAAAATTTTTACAACAACCATTTTCTAAGCTCCTCTTGACGCGTACAACCGATAGCGTGTACTGTACACATTGAAAGGGAATAATACAGTCACTAAATGCACGTATACGAGGATGATACATTCATTCGTATCTAATACATTCATAACACGTTCATTGTATGAGCCCTAGTAGTAGGTCCATATCAGTCAAGACCATTACCAATATATTTATCTAAATATTGTGCAAGAGAATGATTTTGGCCCATAAAGAACTAGCTGTTCCCCGTGACTTCGCCCGCGTGGAATTTACTACGATTTCATGGGTTTTTTCCCCGCAGAACCCTAATTATTTTTCATAACAAAACTATCCTAAGTTACTCCTTATAACATCACCAGTGGAAGTCCCGTTAAAATCGGTCCAGCCATTTCGGAGATTAGCCGGAACAAACAGACAGATAGAGAAATTTTTTAAATATTGTTTATTTGTTATTAGTACCATATATAATATCATATGCATTTAGTAAAAAGCTGTTATTTTAACATTACAGACAGACACTTCAATTTTTTTTATTTGTATAGATTTGTTTATCGTGTGAATATGATTTCAATCGGTCAAATCGTTCAGTTATTGCTACCTTCTGAAGCAGAGACGGGTCGCGAGTGTAAATACAGGTAATTCTAAAATAATAATTCTAAATATAAGGCTAAATGCACACGCATTATAACTTGAATTTTCATCTAATATCAGTGGCTACAAGGCAATGAAGTGTGCGCTGATGAGTTGAATGAGCACCTGTGCGGCTCGAAGTTTAAAAGAGACTTAGATGTCTACCAACCATCTATGAAAACGCTTTGCTAGTCTGTCTTACAGATATTCCCGAAGCAATCATCAGACTATGCTAAACCATCTGTTCTGGGCTTTCGCGGCTATCATAAAGTTTACGTCCGGTGGATCACACATCACCTTACCAAATAGAAATGGGTAGTTTGCGAACGAATAAATGATTTGGACGTCATTAAATATAATAAACTTCTTTTATTCCCCACTTAATCAAATGCATCTTTACTTCATTTAGTGCAGTTAAAAGATTACCATAATACAAATATAAGAAAAAGGTAACCCAATCGTTCAAGCTGTTGAATACAATAGATAACTTTTGTTGACTGATGAAGAAGATTCCGACTAATCTTTTAATAAAATAACTTAAAATTTAAAATTTTGTACAACCGAATTCAATATAAATTATTAACAAAAACTCAAAAACTTTTGATCAGAACTTGATCAAATTTATATGGGACCACAAGAGAAGTACCAGCTTTCAAATAAAAAAAAGAATCATCGAAATCAGTTCACCCAGAAAAAAAAGAACATACAGTCGAATTTGAATTCTCCTTTTTGAAGTCGGTAGAAAAGGCTGAATATACCCATTTATATATATATATACTCGTTTATAACCTTTTTCTATAATTATACGATTTTTATAACTACATTTTTTTTGTTTATAACTTAATGATCTTTTTGAACTTATCTGCAATCAAATGAATGTGAGTGAGAAATGTTTTATACAACAAATACAAAATGTATTGGAAGCTCTGCCTTGTTTCGTTTTAATGAAATTAGGGTGAAAGCGTCATGTTTTTATTTACGGGCGGCAACTGGCGATAATAAAAGAAAAAAGTTGACAAGGTAATTTTAAAAAGAAGCAAATCGGATGTGATGTAATACGAAACTTCCGGAATTTCAAACAAAGGGAGTAGCAGTTAAACGTGGTAAGGTTCTGTAAACGGATAACATAATTAAATATAGGCTTAATTCAAGTATCATGTAAATTGTATATCAAAATTTTTACTTTGTTACGGAACAAACTTAACGGGTACGGTTCAATACTTTAAACAATTCATAACAAACATATATTTTTTTTGAATTTCTAATCTTTGCCACCTTAGTAGTAAATAAATGGTATTACATCACAACCAATATAAAGTACGCGGACTGACGTCCGACCGGACCCACCAGACAGGCAGAACGTAAGCATTCCCACAAGCGTTACGCTCCGTGGCTTTATAACATGTTTACATTATCACACTATATGTTGTATTTGTTGTTAATTGATTACGTTCAGCTATTAATAAATTGTACACCAAATCACAAACTATAATTACTAATATACATAATTTTAAACGATTATATAAGTTTATAAGGAAGGCACTTGTACAAAATAATTTTTATAATCTGATACATCTTTGTACTGTGCCCCTAATTATTAAAAAAATGTATTAAACTTTTTACAAATAATTACTCATTTAACTCTTGAATGAATTGAAAGAATGTATCGTTAAAAGTTAAAGAAGAACCCCTACTTCATATTTTCTCGTTTTTTGAAACTACGTTACTATAATTGAATAATTTACAATACTTTAAATTTTTTTTCAGTCACTTTGATTCGATTATATGAGAATTATTAGCTTAAGTTTTCATCAATTATATTGATGAAAACTTAAGCTCATAGTAAAACAACCTGAAACTACTTCTTTGAAATTCAGTAATTAATCTAGAGGAAAACGTTTTTAGCATTAAGTTCGCCGTGTTTAAGTATGGTTCAATAAAGTACAAAGTAAAAATTCTCTTGAAGCTGTTCTTTGATAAAATTAGGAATTCACTAAATGTTTAATATTCCATTGACATATTATATATTGTTTGCTTATTATTGGACATAGTTTATTGGAGACTTTACAAATTATTTAATTGTGAAATATGAGTGTAAAGCTATCACATAAATGGGATCTTAAGAAAATTGTGTCAATGCGGCCGATGAAAGCTGTTAGATTGTGTAAAAACATTGTCCCACGGCGCGGTGCTGCATCATCATTGACTAGTGACTACGCAGTAGTAGCGTTGTTTTGATCTACTTAACGAGTTGATCTTCGTCGGAGACGGTTCAGAGAGCACATAATAGAAATTCTTTGCGATATTGCGTTTCTTGTTTTAAATTGCGCTTCTTTTCTGTTTTCTTACTGAATCGTTAAAAGAAATGCTTTCATATCAGCATAGCAGCAATAACGGTTATTTATGTATTAATTTTTAATAAAAGTAAACATAAAAACAGTATTTTTTTTGTTCCAATCGAAATATAAATAGGAATGATTAGGTAGGTTTTATCAATTTATACATAGGACAACTAATATGAAGTGAAATTAATAAAAACTTTGGTGAATTGAGGGAAGATTTATCCGAAAGTGGCTCATCTTCTGCGACCGGCAAGTCGAACTCTCTCACCTACTTTTTACTATATTTACTAAATATCATTAACCTGACCCACCTTGCAGCAGTACAAGGACAGCACTTAGAAGTATCGTATCCATTATAAAGTTCACACAAAACGTTTGATTACGACACTCGCGGCGATTTTCTGTGACACAACGCAGTCATGGCGCGTGTGGCTGGAATAACTGTCGGTGTTCGACTGAGTTGGTGCGGCTGCGGCGCCGACAGGTGCGCAAGCGCATCACAGATCACAGGTAACCACCAATTGGTAGCCCGCCCCCATCCTCTCTCCCCTCGGAGCTTTCGCGCGCTGAATAACGAATTTCTCGAGCCCCTGAGTGTGAAGCCTACTTTACGTGTTTTGATTCGCAATGCGACGAATAATGTCTGTTAGGCGATCCTCGTATTTTTATTAGGTTAGTGGGTGATGTTCATTTGTAAAGTAGGAAAAAAACAATACTTAATTTTAGTTTTTCTAGTGACAATCTTCTAAACGTTTTAGAGCATGTGCAACAAGTGGTTTATTCTACATATTCTTTCACGCAGTCATTATACACAAAATTGAAATATAAAATTTCACGTTTTCTCCATTTTTATATATTATTATGTGTTTAAATTCAAAGCCAATGAACACATATAATTACAAGATCGTACGCGTTGATGTCTTTTCTATAACGTCAGTAGTTAGCTTTTAAAAATTTAATGATTGATGTGTCTTTATTATTTTTTATTAGAAAATAGTATTCGAAATTCAAATAACAAACTCTAAATACATGTAATATACACTTTACCAGAAAGTTTTATCGTCCCCATTTCTCTCGAAGAACATTCCGCAACTCATTGTGTCTCGCTATTCTCTAATGATTCGCAGAAAATTTTATCCAAGTGTCAATTGAAGCAGTAAAATTGTTACGAAAAAACTAATTTCATAGACAAAATTAAGATTAATTCACTCACTTTCTCGATAAGATTGATTCGATACAGATAGTAGTTGCGCAAACTTGTTATCTATCAACGTGCGAACCCGCGAGACTCAAGTTTAGACCATCCATAATTAGCATTTAGTATCAAAATTTTTTTGTTTACATTTTAGTATCAATTTTTATTTTAAATTATTTAATGTTTTACTACATTTTAAAATAATTGAATAATGAATAGTTTTAATTTTTTTTATGGTTCTTTATATGACAAGTTCTTAAATTATGTAATAAATAATATTCATTTAATAATATCATTTTTATATAACTATCAGCTGAGCGCATCCGAATCCGCATCACCGATTAACAAACAATTTTTAGCCAATATAAATTCCCTAATATTATAATCTTGCTGGTAATGTTGTCTGGTCCTGAGCTTTTAAGTTTCTTTAAACAATCTATTTTAAAATTACTGTGTAATCCTTATTGATATATTTCTCAATATACTGGCTCCCAATAGAAAAAGATCTCTTGTTGTGTTATCAAATAAATTGGTGATTCCTATTTCTGTACTTTGTTAACTAAACCCATGCTTTTTTATTTGTTTTTTTTTTATTATTTTCTATTAAATATCACTTCTATATACCTGCGTTTACGCTTTTAGCCAAAATAAAAGTCTTTGATGGATCTCCTCATTTTGAAGGCATTTTTCTTGTTACATTCGAATTCTGACACCTCGATAGAAAGGCCAAATTAGCCACTAAGAAGCGTGGCGTACATAGTAGAGCAACATATTATTTTATGCCAGCCCACCGCTTGCAATTTCACAAGGCGCAATTTCGGTTTCACATGGAGACCGATCGAATTTCTAGACCGAGACAATCCAACTCCTTCAATCAGACCGCGTACAAAGATGAGTGACAGCGGTTCTTCCTGATCGGCTATATCCACTGGCCTTGGCGCAGAGAAGTTGCGTGTCATTGCGACAAAATTCTTAATTACAGCCATACAGCATTCACCATCAGCTGGATACCTCACCGTGAATTTCTTTAGAAATTTACTGTCGCCAACGTCTTTCCTGACTTGGCTTAAGAAACGCTAATGCACCGTAATTTTTCTGGTGTTGTAAATGTTGATGGACGGCAATGGTCATTTGCCACAAGTTAAGCCACATTCTCGTTTGAACCTTCTTCTATAAAAAGAAGAAAAAAGATTTAGTGAAATATATTATTATTATTATTGGGCTATGTATAAAGTTTTCTCATCTGGTTAGGCAGTATAAATATATATTTGTAAATGAAAATGGTAAACATACATAAACATCAATAAAGTAAAATAAATACATAAAAATACATAAATATATAAAAACCCAACCAGATGGAAACCCCCGGCAGGGGAGACCAAACGGCCGAGGGTTAGGGGGAAAGGGAAAGAAACCGGCGGACGATGCGGGCGGTATCGAGGAGCACCGACTTATTATTATTATTATTATGCATATATCAATATTCTCCCTATTAAAGAGGTAACATAAAACCTAATCACATTTGCCGAAGGCAAGCGTGAGTAGATGCTAGGTGATGGTGTAAGAAGAGGTGACGGATGACGTGGTGAGGAATTTGCGTGTGAGTCGGCAGGTGTTGAGAATGACAGCTTTCTGCAGGGTGTAAAGTGTGTGTTGAGGTACTTGCAAAATATCTAAACTGCGTTGTAAGCATTTAGGTATGACTCCGGTAGATTCTTATCTATTGGGACTATATGGATGGTTTCTGATCGCCATTGACGCTTGAGTTCTATTGCTAAATCTTGATATTTTGTAAGTTTTTCAGCAATGGTGGATTGAATATTGAATATTATGGTATGGCAATGTAGTTTTGTTATTTTTGTCATACATAGTGATATCTGGCATATTGAATTGAAGTGGATAGTTTTATCCGTAATAATGGTCCCGTCCCAATAAATTCTATGATTATTATTTTCTAATATAATGTCCGGTTTATATTTGTAATATGGTGTCATTTTTTTGTATAAATTTGAATTTAAGCGCAAGATGTTGGTGTATTATAGAAGCTACCTGGTCATGCCAGTGTTTATAGTCGGTTTGTGTAAGGGCTCTACAGGCTGATGTTATGTGTTGTATGTTTTCGGGACTAGAGTGGCAATGTCTACAAGTATCGGTGGGAAGGTTAGGTGCGCGCATTATGTGCCCTTGGAAGTTTCGAGTATGGATGACCTGGTCCTGGATCGCTAATGAAGGCCTCCGTTTCTGGGAAGAGTTCACCGCGCTTCAGCCAGGCGTTCGACGCTTTTTTGTGGACATGTGGCTGCTGCAGGTCGTGGTAGTGCCTTCCGTGTAGGCACTTCTGTTGCCATGAGGCGATCTTCTCTTTTACGTTAGTGATCCGTTCGTTGCGTTTTGTATTTCGGTCTGCAAGGTTAAGTGGTGTGAGGCGTTTGTCGGCTAAGTTTACTATTTCGTGGAGAGGTGAGTGTTCTGAGCGTTGATGGAAATATTGTTGAAGGCATTTGATTTGTTTGTTGTGCAAGTTGGGGACATCTATTATACCTCGTCTTCCATCGGATCTTGCAAGAGTCTTTGTACGCAGGATTGAGGGTGGTGCTTGCGGTGAGTGCTATTTATCAATGAAGGTTACCTTGAGTCCAGTTAATTACACCAAACGAATATGTCAGTATAGGGATTGCGTAACTGTTGATTGCTTTTGACATGTTGCGGGAGTTAAGCTGAGACCGGAATATACTATTGAGCCGATGTTTAAATTTTATTTTTGAGTCTTTCGTTTCGTTTTGATGGATCTGTCGCGCTTGTTGGAAACCTAAGTATTTATATGAAGCGAAGGGCTAGAGATTCAATCGTTTCTCCTGATACAAGGCTATAGCTGTTTGGCTTTGGCTATAGCACGTTTTGCACTTGTCGATACCAAACTCCATATGAATGTCGTTTGAGAAAAATTGGGTGATGTCTGCACGGCGATGCAGTGACTGTGTAGTGTTATTGTATAGTTTTATGTTATCCATGTACATCCGGTGTGTAAGAGTGGTGTGTTTGTGTGGAGTGATGATAGAGTAACCATGATTGGTTTTATTCAGCATTTGCGAGAGAGGGTATAATGCGGGGCAGAACCATAAAGGGCTGAGCGCATCACCTTGGAATATTACTCTATTGGAATTTCTGGTATTTCTATACAAGAAGTTCCTGTGGTTTTTAATGTAGTTCTCCAGTGCTGCATTGAGTTTTTATGAAAATGTATAATTTGTGGGTGAATTTTGTAGTGTTGTAGTATATATAGGAGCCAGCTGTGAGGTACGGAGTCAATTGTTTTCAGTAGTCTACATATATACATTGTATTGATGTTCTTCCTTTTAGAAATAGCTTGTTTCATTGCTACGGAGTCTATTATGAGTTGCTCTTTACACCCCTGACTACTTTTATTTTATTATGATTAATTAAGATTGCAAATTTAATTCATCAACAGAAGTTAATTTAATTTTACAACAAAATAAAAATCTTTCGTTTCTAAAAATGTGCAAGCGGTCTTTGGATTGTGTCCAAAAGTATTTCTAACATAGCGTTGCATGCATTTGGTAGACAATACTCATTGTACGTTTCGAATACAAAACCCCAGCTCTTATATGAAGCACTATGTGGAATAGTAATTTTTTTTGTGATTTTTTGTATATGTATCTTAAGATTGGTTTACACATATTAAGTAGTCAAGTAATTAACTAAATTTTAAAATAGTTTTAAGCGATTTAATTAATATTTAGCATTTACACGTTCTCATCATTTCATATTATTGTTTAGCTTTTTAGAACATGATTGGCGACATTTTTGTCATAAATTCAGTAATCAGATTTTGGACGAAATAATAGATAAATTATGAAAGTGATATATTCACGTGATTGAAAATACCTAAAAGATTGAGAGTGAGAAGATGACTATGGCGTAAGTGCAATTTTATTTCATGCAAAAGCAGGAAAAGATGTAATAGAGTATTTCAATTGGAGATTAGGTTCAATTAGAATATTCAAATAGGGAATTTGCAATTTGCGGTTATGTTAAAGAACTTGATATACATATGGTCCAATGTATGGGAAAACAATTTTTCACTGCAAATTTAAGTTTGTCTTTTATTTGACTTACTTCTTCGTTAGAGCAAAGTTCGGTGTTTACCGTACCTATAATTTCCAGGTAGGATAACAACAACTATCTACATACGTTTACACGGAACCCAAAGGACGCGACTCCTACTCGTACTTGTCCTGTGT